TTGCAAGATCTGAATAATTGATCTAGGAAATAATTTATGGTATGCTTATAAGCAATCTTAAAGTTGTTTTATTTTTTAAGAATCAGTGCATCGTTATCAGACTTGCATATTTTTGCCAGGCCCCCCTACAATTCCCATGTACTTGTATGTGTATCTACATTGTATTATTGTATTTATGGTAGATGTAAGGAACTTCACTGTTAATAGTATACGCAAGTGACCTCACCTTGTGTCCTTCTTTCATATTTGTTACTTCTTTCAGGAGGTTTTCTTTGTCGAAGTTGACCTGATGTGACGGTGGAGAATGGCGTTTTTTCTTCCTAACTCTAGGATCCTCCTGTCTCTTCCGTTTTCCGACCCTTGCGGCTGCTTCCTCCAGTGTCTCAAAGTGCAGAGTGGTCCTTTGTTTTGCTCGCTGACTGCCTCGTGCTAAGCATTGTATCTGCGTCACGTTTGGACCATTCCTCTTGCACTTTGTTCTTTTCTTAAAGTGCTCGCTGTCGACGTTCGCGTTTCTTTTGTATTTTGCTTTTCTTTTGCTGTAACTCGAGCTCGGACACTTTAGTTTGAGCTTCAGCAAAGCTAACGTTAAAGGTTTTCTGAAAGTGCCCATTTATTTTTAAGTAAATGTGCTTTGCGGCTGATGTGATTGCTTTTTGGGTGGGCTTTACTTTATTGTTTCCCACGTTCCCATTTTCTACAAAGGCTTCTTGAATTAGCTTTTGGGGCTTGAACCTGACAGTGTTCGGAAAGAGGGATTGGAAGGCGAAGTGATGTACTTGGCAGGTATGACAGTGCGACATAGTGTGTTCTGACCTCTGAGAATCGGGTAAACCATTCCATTTTGCAAGCGAAAAGTACTTGAGGTATTCAGTCGGGCTCCCAGCGTTCATTTTACGAAATGAACGTGGACGTGAATGTGGACTTATCAACGGCGAAAATTGACTGCGCTGATTCACCTAGCGTTTCTTGGTAGTTTCTCTATCGCTGAACGGGATCAGCCTCCTTCGTTGTTGTTCCAGTTTTATGGAAACTTTCTTTGACGGCAACCTTTGAAAATCCACAGTTGAACATAAGAGACATAATCGGTTGCTTGCCAAATTTACTTCCTTTCTTACTTGTATCGAACAATTGATCTTACCACGTGATAGGCGCGCAATCTTTACTTTTGAATATTGCGCCCAAACTAATAAAGTATTGCCGAATTCAAAACAATAAGAGATAAAGTTACTAGTTTATTTCAACAAAAACCGCGTTTTTTTGCCCACAGGTTTTAAAGAAGAGAACGAAAAGCCTTATTTTTTATTGACCTCTCTCCTTTACCGCAGGTTGTTGTAGTATCAGCCCTACCCTTAGGGTTTGGCCATTTCAAATTAGAGAAATAACACACGTAGGTTAAAGAAGGATTCTTGCTCCATTCCTTCCGAGGTTTTGTCTTCCGAAAGCCCAAGATAGCAAATCTTGTGGCATTTGAAATAAGCTTTTTTCCCGACCTTCAAACAGCTTTGTCTGCCATGTTTTGGCTTCGCACCCTGGCCTTGTACACGCATTTCTGAAAGCTAATTGGTTGATTCACACCATGGCAACCATTCCAGGCGAATCCTCGCGTGAAAATATGGCGGCTGGCTAACTTGACACACTGTTTGCGAGTTTCTTAATTTCCCACCACTAGTTAAGATTATTTAGTTGCTGTATTATTTCTTTTAGACTCCACCACTATCACTTTCTTTATTTCTAATCAGAACCTACTGTTAGATTTCTTATATTTTGTATAAATTTGTGTAAAAATCTCGAAATCGGTACTTAGGTTGACTCGAGCAAACGCGAACAATTACATGTTAAATATTATAAAAATATTGTATTCATTCCGAGTGATTTCATGGAGTTTATCACTATGCTAATATGAATCGGAGGTTTTTTTGTGATTGTTGTGGGGGCAAGTGGTGGGAATTTGTTGTAGAAGGCACAGAGCTTTTTGGCTCCAAAAGAAGCGGTTTTGGCAAGTTTCACCACGTTTCTTGGACATCAAACGTCTACCCATTAGATGAAGGCGCAACGTCTGGCAAAGTTTCATAGAAATCGGCCACGTTTTAAAGAAGTTATGGTCAAATTTTGTCAATACCGTGAAAATGGACATGGGAACCAGGCCTAAATCTACTTTAGTGATTGGTTTGTTGATCTCCTAACGATAGAAGAAGTTTGGGGACAAAATTCTGCTTAGTAAGGGAGGTAGTGGCAGTTACGGGTGGTTCAGGTGTCAATGTGTTAGCATATATTTATACTAATAATATATTTGTTTCGTTCATCGCGGAGCTTGCATTTTTGGTTGCACTATATCTTGAGTTGTGAGTAATTTCTAGTGTCGTTTCAGGGCGGTTAAATATGGTATTCTAAGTAATAACAGGTGCAGTAAGCTATATGCAGTCATCGACTGCCTATTTTTTGTGAAGTTTACAGTACGTGTCAAGCTACATGAGGTAAGCGATCATCGCGTAACACAAATTTTACGAGAATGCGTAACCAGTGATATTTGGATATTTAGTTATTTTGTCATGAGATCTGTCGTGTTAAGTCGGAAATCCTTATTTGGTGAGAAAAACTCCGGAGGCAAACAAAGGAATATTCGGAATCGAAAAAGCAAAAGTTGTAGAAGACAATGTGCTTTGTCAACTGTCGCGTTTTAGGGGGGACTGAGGTGGCGAGGAAAGTTTATTTTGGCGAGTAAACCAGACTTTTTCTAAGATACTCGTATTGATCTTTTGTAGTTTGTTAATCGTCACTTTGCTGTTAATCGACACGTGGTCGGCGCCGGCCATAAGGTTAGTATAGAGTTAACAGATTTTACGACTTAATTTTATTCACGAGGATCCACCCCTCAATTACCAAGACATTGTATAGTTTTGTATTAGCCTTTCGTTTTAACTTTTAGATTATCTGAAGTCGTTTAATCTTAATTTCATTTTGTAAGCCTTTTATTGGAACGCCCCAAATATGTGCGAAAAGTCGTCGCAAATTGCACCTAAAATGTATCTATCTTTGTTTTACAGAACTAAATATTTGATGGAAATTCACATGTTGAAATCTGTGCGATTTATTCATATCAAAATGGGGTGACCGCCTAATAGGGCTGAAAATGACACAAAGGTGCAAACGAAACTTTCGGGACTTTGAAAACCGACCACTTAATACGGGGTGACCGCTTAATACGGTGCTGCTTAATACAGTTCGACTGTACGTTTTTGTCAGTTATCCACCAACAAGCAGAACTCTTGTTGCGGTAGTTCCCTGTACAAGACTGCTTTTACTTAAATCTGACATCTGTAATTCATAACCTTTTTATCATCTGCTGAGCCAGAGGTAAAAGAGGGAGGCTTAAAATGAGTTATCACAGGCTCTATTCACAAACTGTTTTATCGTTCAAATCCAACTAGAATTAAGATAGACCTGTAAAAGCTGTGTCTTTTGCTTCATATCAGTCAGAAAGAAACGAACAGGGTTGCTAAGCGGGATATAACTTTATGATAATAATTGATATCGAACATACCACAAAATTCGTAATAAAAATATTAAAATTTACTGTTTATACTTTATAGAGAGAAGTTAATAAAAGTTGATCACATCGCGTGATGAAGGCTGTGTCTTCGATTAGCATTAGAAGTGACTACATCATGAGGGCATAATTAGTTGCGAAATGTTTTACTATGAGACAGTGGCAGTTATAGTTTACTGGAAAGGACTAAGGGCGAGAATGTTTCCCAGGTAGCTTTGAAAATTATGGAGACACTGGCTCGGTGAGATCACCGGCTCAAAATTCAATTCAATAAGAAGTCCACCGATGTAAGCTGGCGCCAGCGCTTCTCGGGTTGTGTACGTGATGAAAGGATGAAAAAGATGTCCAGGTTTGCTTCTGTGTGGCCGTGGGCGGGCATTTATTTAGTACCACAAAAAATAGGGGACACGTACACCAAGATATATTGATGTTTACAAAAAAAAACAGGAAAAGTGAATAAAAATTTGATTTAAAACATTTCTCAGTATAACAGCGTCTTCATGGCTCTTTACAAAAAAACAGGAAAAATGAATAAAAACTTGATTTAAAACATTTCTATAACAGCGTCTTCATGGCTCTTTAAGGCTGGAAATACAGGTTGTTACCGATTTTATCTTCGGAGAATGTTACCAGTCGCAACCCGTGACTCGCGACTGCTGGTCAAACTCACGACACGTTATTGGTGATAGCATGAAACACATTTACTCTTCGAAAACAACATCTCTCTTGGTTTGGACTTGGATATTAGTTGAGAGAGAAACGAAAAACAGACGGGCTAAAAAATTGGCAAGCAACTTGGCGCATGTCGGTTACGGTTAACCATGGTTGTTAGGGATACAGCAATAGAAAGAGAGCGCTCTTTCGCATGCCATTTTTTGCACACTCTATTCTTTTTCCCGTGGAAAAATTTTTCGCTCTCCTGCTCGTCTCCACCAACTGAATGCCTGGAACTTGACGAAAAAAGGATTATAAAGGGTAAAAGTAGCAAATAAAGAAAGAAAAAAGAGGAAAAAGGAACAAAAAAGGAAATAAAAGAAATAATTATAAAAGAGGTACTACCTCAAAGTTTCAACCCTTTCAACTTATTTTTTTCTTGTGTTAATCGACCTAGAAATTTTGTTTTCGAAAAGCTGCCTTAAAGTTAACGGCCCGACTGTATTTTCCATTCATATTAATTAATATTTTCATACGTCTTACAGGATCTCAGGGTAACTTATTTCCCAGAGCGGAAAGATAATTCTTCACGCGGCAAATTAGTAACGCAAACTTGCAAAATGATAAGAGAAATTTTAAGAACGGAAACGACATTTCTATAACATTTAGGAAGTTTCACAGTGAAAAAGAAGGGTGCTTAACACTTAGTGCCATCATTTTTACGGTTGTTTTGAACTTTAAAATTAAACTTAATGAAACAAGCCTAAAACTAACTAAATACGATTAAAATTTCAACTTCAGTAAAGCATTACGCATTTTAATTTAAGCAAGAAGGCTGAACTATCTGCACTGAGCCCATTCGGTGATATTTGAAGTCGCTCCACTGAAACAAATTTCCCGTCCCTGTCAAGCACGACTTGGACATGCGCCTGATTTCTTGGTCTGAAATCACGTGATTCCAGATATTGACATCTGCCATTTCACCAATGAAACTTTGATATTCTTCAAAGCCTCCTCCCAATTTGTCTTGATCCTGTCCAAGTACAAGGTGTCCACCTCCGCGGATCAATCGGCCTGTAATTAAAAGCAAGAATATGTCTCCATTCCTTCGCTAGTCGTGCTTTTAAACCAATTCGTGGAAAAGTAGTTATTGTTTTTTTGTTGTTGTTAGCTTTTTTAAAGGTGTTTTAGTAATACAAGAGCAAACGATTTAAATAAAGTTGTAGTAAGCAAAACGTTTAATCTGCAAATTTTCACATTTTTTTTGAAAATACTCGACTTGCCTGACCGTAAAATTTTTTGAATTAGTTTGATGTTCGATATTTTCTGAGTACAAATTACCTTTTGCTAATCCTCTACCACTAGCCCCCAATGAACCATCCTTGAACAATTTCCACGATCCAGCAGTATTCTCCCATGCGAAGCAAATGTGATGCCACTTTCCATCGTTGGCAGATACATTGGTGGGACTACTATAATGAACATTGAAAGGATTCAAAGTCTTTCCTTAATAATCCATTTTGAAAAGGTTGAACGATCGATAAAGTAGTTGAAGATTATTGGTGTGATAGATTTTGAGTCTGGTGCGATAATTATTGAACCTGTATCCCTCTTCTATCTCTTTCTGCACGTAGAGAGGTGAAATGCTAAAATATCATCAAGCTCTGTCTGCAAGGCACTTGATGCCATTTTCATGAGATGTTTTATTGTTGACTTCCCATGATTCTAAAACTTTCGGGTTGCTGGTGATGCGTCTTCATATCAAGATATAGATAAATTTGAGAAAGAAAAACGCACAACGCCGATTGTTTTTAAGTCAACCATCGGCTCTGTCCAATAGTGCTTTATTTTATGGATAACAAGTGTGAGGAAATAACATTCAGGGCTCCGCTATTAGGATTAGCTAAATATGGTTCACTAAATAGCTATGACAACATTTACTATTGCTGATTCATGATTTAAATAATACAAGGCGGGCTCTGCACATCATGTGCAGTTTATCGTTCCTATTCCTCAATAAAAGTGTATTCTCGTACCTCCAAACTGATCGTAAGCTGAACACAAAATCTCTGGGCCTTAATAAGAGCAGTTCGTTATCTTCTCCACTCACAGCATAGCTAAGAAGTGTTCCTCTATTTCCTGTAGCATTAGTCTTTATCCACATACAAACTGTCACAGCTGTAAGGCTTGGCATTCTATGCGTGATGATTACGTAATCATTTTCACTCTTATATGGAAATAACAAAGAGTAGTTTGGGCTGACTGAAATCAAACGAAAGGATATTTAGTGAGGAAATGGAGTTTTTAGAAGTTATAACCATCGTAACGGAATGTTCTACCCACGAGAAAAGTCTAGAATTCATCTTAGCAAGAATGACTGGTAACTTATATCTCAGAATTAAGAATATTCCCTGTTACATACAACATCCCGAGTGATTTTAAGACTTCAACGACGCTTCTATTAAGTGATGAAACACCCACAAATTGCATACACGATCTACAACGCGACTCGTACTTTCTCAGTGACCCTGCAATACGTAACGGATATGTTCGGAAGCATCCCCACAACGTCCGAAAAACCAACAAATTGATTATTGCGTTTCGACATTTACTGACTAAAGTTAGATACACACAAACGAGATTAGGGATTCCGGATTCCAGAGGTTTGCAGGTACATCAACGGAAAACTGACTTAACATAAACGAGCGATGATGTAAAAAAATCAAATGCCGGAACATCATCAATCTACAAACCACACTATTGACTGGGACTTTGCTCAATGCTTCATCTGCAGCACTAACTACTTTCAATGACATACTTCATCTCCGATTGTCATTAAGGCTAATAACAATTTTTTCAGGACTAACCTTACCCGAAAGACACTCTAAATAATTATGGAGTGAAACTCTTACTAAATTCACAAGTTGGCTGCACTCCCGTCCATGAACCGTTGACCAGGTAGAGACGCTCTGAGGGTCCATTCAACCAGTAACCACAGTTACAACTGAATGAAATAGACTCCCCCGTGCAGTTTTTCTGACTGTGTGAAAAACCATTCTTCAGGTTTTTCAACAAAGGACAAATTTTCCTGACTGATAGATAGATAGATACATGTAAATACACAGACTCATAAATATAAATATGTCAATATGGATTAATAAAGAAAAACATAAATCTCTTGAGAAATGTTATAAAGTTTCTCATCTCTGATTGTACCATGATTATTTTTACATCATAATAGTTGATTGGCTAGCTAGGGTGATGCGAGTTTGCATAGGGCGGTAAAGCAAAATCAAGCAATCCTACATTACTTACAACACGAAAGTGAAAATTATTTAAAAGATGCATACTTTGCATGACCAATGCCTTTATCGTTTCAGATGTGTTCTTAAATTGCAAAGAGAGCTCTTCGATTGACTTAATCACGACATCCAGTTTCCTTACGACACTTTTGTTAAACGAGTGAGGACTTGTGTACCACGCCTCGATTGTTTTGTGAATTGGAGCCAGTCTTCCTGAAGAAATTGAAAGACATAAACAAAGATCTTAAAATCTTTCAATAATAAATGCGTGGGACAAAAAAACATATTGGTTCATGGTGTGATTTCGAAATGTCAGAAAAGAAAGTTTTTCAAACAAATTTCGATTCTTACGCACTGAACCAAAATGAATTTCACAGAGAGATTACCGCTGTTTCCGAGTACTATTTCCAAGTTACGCTGCCCTGCGTGATTGTAATTTTCACATAATTTACATAGTGGTTTTAAAGGTTATCTGCGTAAGGAAAAAATATCTAAGATTTCCCAAACAATGGGATTTTGACATGCAAGTATATTTAAATGAAATTAAATCGAACTGTCAAATAAATCTTTTACACTTTTGAAAGTCTACTTTCAGGACATAATATTGAATTTCTCGAGAGGTTCCCCACGTGTGTTGATAGAGTGTTTGTGTGGAGAACATTCAAAGAAGTGAAGCCAAAGATCACCAAGCCACTCGCAAGCAAGGGTTGGATGCGATCGGATTGTGTTACATTACATCCTTGAACATGCGTTAGATGCGTAATGTCCACTTGCGTATTGGTAAAATTTTTGCTCTTGAAATTGGCGTTTTACATCGTTTTTACGCGGCCTTACGCGGCAACCGCCAGCCATTCTTCGTGGCTGACCTCTTGATGCAGGTTTAACTGTGTAGGAAAATGATGTCATAAGGGAGGATTGGTGACTCAACGTCAACAGCCACAAGTAGGAGAAATGTTCATCATTGAGTCAGACTTGTTTTTTGTTTTGCATCTCCTTGGTTGAGAGAGAGGCCCAAGTTTCCTTCATAGATCAATCATTAGCCGCATTGAAGCAAAAGCAATACAACCTAAGTTGAAAATCAATGTAAATATACATACCGTTCATTTCCAAAGCAGTCGTCCTTTCAGACATGTTCTTAACATTCACGTTTACTAAATCCAATTTTCGTTCGATATTTGCGTCCAGGGAGTCGAAGCGTTTGGACAAAGCTTCAATGGCTTTGAACATTGAGTCCTGGTTATCTGTAAACAATCGCGACAAAATAAAAGCTAAAATGGCTGATTACACACGTAGGTGGTGCAAAGAAAAATTATGGCACGTTGTGAACATTCGAGCTGCAGCCCAGATCCCCTACCAAATGAAATTCAACCATCGAACCTTTTAGAAAAGGCTTCCGATGGTTTTGTTCATTGTCTTCAGTTTCTTCAAGGACCTTAAGATGAGCAGTGGAAAAAGAGGCCCAATGCACACGCATATATGCGACTTAAAATGCATACCTTGCATTTCCAAAGCAGTTGTCCTCTGAGATGCGTTCTTAACATGGACATTTACTAAATCCAGTTTTCTTCCGATATTTACGTCCAGTGAGTCAAGACGTTTGGACAATGCTTCAAAGGCTTTGTACATTGAGTCCATCTTTTCTGTAGACAATGACAAATAGAAAAGGATTTTTAACGCAAGCGATAACCCATTTAAGTGCCAAGGACAAAGGACAAACTGGGTTTCCTGGTGAGGATTCTAGCCCCTCCTATTGCGGCCCAAATGCTCCAGCAGCTGTAATGCAAACATTAAAGCTCTCTAAATTTTTTTTTGTTTAAATCATCAAGTTTTCAAGACAGGTTAACACATTTGACCTAAAACTGACTCTTTTGAAACAAGAAAGGCCGGTTTATCAACTTAGAGCAGGCACATCTATTTAGATGACAAAAACAACCTTCACATTAGCTATGACCTTTTCACAAATCAAAACCTCATTAAAGAAACACCACTACAAGTTCTAAATATACAAACCTTGCATTTCCATTGTTCTTTGAGATGTGTTCGTAACATTAAAATTTACGAGATCCTCTCCAATTTGTTTGTCTTGCCAGTCAAGGCGATTGGACAAAGCTTCAATGGCTTCGTTTATTGAGTCCAGTTTTTTTATGGACAGCAATGATAAATGAAGATGTTAAAAAAACTGATTGTTTACGTATGCGGAACAAGGTTTGTTGAAGTCCTAAATGTAATAACTGTCCTAAATGTAATAAAGTCCTAAATGTAATAACATTTGGTCCTAAATGTAAAAAAGCCCTAAATGTAATAACGTTCGGTCCTAAATGTAATAAAACTCCTATGCAATCGTTTAACTGCGCTAACATTGAGATGTTAAAGTGACAGCTGTTGCACTAAAGAATCCTCTGACCAATGTTCATGGAATATTACGGGCTCACCGATATTAATCAGCGTCTTTTTATTTGCTAAAGACGTAGGTTGAGAAGCATTGGCTACAAAACCTTATACTGATACTGGTGTGCTTTTGGCATCAAATTGACGTACGCAAAAGCAATGAGAACGTTGACCAATAGCTCTCTTTATATCATTGGCTCAGACTCTTAAGTGTGAAAGACTTTGACGATATACCTCTGTCATCAGTGCTGAAGTTAACACTCCATGAACCGAATTACAAGGAAAAGGAAGTCCACCGACTCATACGTTAGACAAATTCTGGGCTCGGAAGGGCATTTTTTGTACTGTCTTCCCTTGCCAGATTTGTACAGGTCTGCATAAAATATATTCATGTGCGTTATTGACCAAGCGTGAGGTCAAAATGGCTGGATATTGGCCGAGTTCTTTTTTATATTTATAAATATATTTTATAATATTTCATTTTTTGTCTTCATCTCTTCTCCCCACCGTGAGGGGAGAAAATGAATAGATAAATAGAAGCACGAAAAAAGAAGGCTCAACAGTTTCCACTTATAGTCATATGGTACATGAACTGATTACTGAGGTGGAGTAAAGCCATAGAGGGCTAGAAATGCAATACTCCAGGTTCAAAATTGAATAAATCAGGATAGTCGTTCTTAAAAATGGACTCAAATGCTTCATTAAAATCAATTGACACTTAATAACATTGATGTGCAAAATTTCAGTAACGCTACTGATAATAATAAATTTCATTTGGATTGACATGTGACACAGCGAAATCATCCAAACTGCTCTAAAACGGTGCATCACTACTAACGATAACATCAACAATAGCATGCTAGTTCATCATCAATTGTAGCCAATTTCTTTTCCAAAAAAACTTAATGATTACGTACCAATCGATTCCATCCTAATGATGTTCCAGCCAAGCACTAGCCCACTTTGGGCTGGAAATGATTTTCTTCAACTCGATCAATAAACCACTTTAAGGACCATACTTCGACTGCTGATATTTCTTATGTCTAACAAGTAAAAAAACGCTGATTGATATCAGCGAGCCCGTAATGTGACATGTATACTGGTCAGCGGTTTTTGGGGTGCAACAGCTGTCACTAACATTTCAGTGTGGATGTCCGCCATAACAACAATGCGCTGAAGGAGTTAAATGATTGCATTGGAGACTTATTACATTTAGGACTTTATTGCATTTAGGACCAAATGTTTTTACATTTAGGACTTTATTACATTTAGGACAGTTATTACATTTAGGACTTCAACAAGGTTCTCGGTAATGATTTGGGCCCTTGAGCGAACCAGACGTTTTACTGACTGAAATAAAAGAGCTGAGCCTCACTGAAAAAGTTTAGCATTCTCCACATTTAAAGGCCGGCTCTTTTCTTTACTGAGGCCGCTTTTTCTTGGCAATGGGGGAAGGGGAGAGGGAGTTAGCAGATGCGTTGCATTGACTGATGCATGATAGTTGCGCAAGAACCGCATTAATTGGCGCAGGAATGCCCGAGTGAGTCAAAGAAGAGAAAATGCAGGACATCGGCAAGACGTTTCAAACGCAAGAAGCTTAAAACTCCATTCCACAAGAAGCTGCAAAAGGGCAACTAACGCAACTGTGAACTTCAAATAGCAGTAAGAAATCGTTTTGCAGCATTTTGGTAACTTCCCAGCTTATGCGTTACGAACGAGTGATTCATCAGCCAAACAGATGCTGACCCAAACACTTCTACTGAGAGGGAGGATAAGGTATAATCGCTGAAATAATATGCGCGCAGTACAAGCCAATTTTTTGGTGCCATAACCGCATATAAACGTCTTTCTTCAAACATATGTCTTACCTTTCTGTGCCCCGCATAGCCTTCGTCCTGATACAGACAGCGTAATAAATATCAATAACAGGGCCAGCAAGACAGCCATGGTGAGCAAACAAGCGATCTTCCAGTGTGCAGCTGTTCCCCGACCCCTTTTAGTCTTCTGTTGCTGATCTTCATCAATAAGCAATGGTTCCATTCTGAAACGCAACGATAAGGAGTAACCTTGGTTTCATCAAAGGTAAGCAATACCAAGAGGAAATACAACTAAAAAGGATTCCTGATCGCAGATTGGTGAAACATTTCAAGTTCTGTAGGTGGTTTTCGCATTTGAAAATGAAAATATTCAGTCTACATTTTTTTTTTAAAAATTTCACCATTTGCCGATTCTGTATTCAGGAAGAATCTAAACGACAATCGCAAACAACGTGCATCACTTTCAGAGAGAGTTTTAACCCTTCAGGCCTAACACGAGCAGGCGTTAATTGGATCAAAATCCGAAATTCTCTCAGGTGAATGTCGCCAAAACTTCCTGACACGCTTGGAGAATTGGTACTGTTTTTCCTGGTGCAGTTGGGGGGGGGGGGGGGGGGGGGGCGGCTGTTCACAGGCTAAGGTGTTGCTGTCGCTGATTTTTTTTCTTTTTTCATCTAATCGAAAGTTGATGTGAAACGGAATCAGTCATTCTAAAGGTTGCGTTGTAAAAGATTAACGTATCAAATCACCTACACTGTGCGGCCAAGAGCCCTTTATACTGACACGGCACTCGCCTGCTTTATATTGGTAATACAGAAGTTTGAGTCACGTATCACAGATGATCCAAGTTGGCTAAAATCTTTATTGGTAAGTCATTCTGCCAAAAACTCTAATGCTGTTGATTACGTTTGATGACAAAGAGCTAGAAAACTGAATGCGACACTAACTTACTGTTTTTGCGAATAGTTCCCTTATTAAGCGTGTTGTTTTGGAGTTACGATGGAATCAAAACATAAAACTACTCCGAATTAAAACAGATAATATATACTTATATACTATATAAAATTAACGTTTTTTAGTGGGGGGAACGCACATGACTGTTACACTCGTAAACAGAAGAGCGAAATCTTTACTCATTACCGCGAACTGCACCTGGCTCAGGAGATGACTTACAAGAATTCGAAACTCCGACTATGCCGAAAATCTGCAAAAATATTCGAAACAGACATTTTAATCTAAGCTCTTTTAGGTCTTTGTTCTTCCCAACAAGCCTACACACGCTAAACGCGATGAGAGGCCCAGCATGGCATTGCAAACGATTTAACCGTCAATCAAGAACAGCAAAGCCAACGCATTTCAATATTTCGCAAATAACGCAAGGAATATTCAAAACCAACCTGAGGTACTGATTCCGGAGTAAAAAGACAAAATAATTACAAGCTTTCACGCGCAAGGTCAAGATTCAACCGCTGATCTTTAGTTCAAAATGGAATTTATCCCCGAATTCTAGCTGCTGCAGTTGTTTATGTCTTTCATCATCGAACCATTTCGAGAAACCATACCGATATCACGTGATGAATTGGTCCATTCTGGGAAAAAGTTGAATCGCGTGCAGACATGAAAACTGAAATTAATATTTCGACATTTTTGTGTCTAGTGCGTAGTAACCAAGCACCTTGCAAAAGCGGTAAGAGATTGCGTGTCAACAAATGACGTTTGCCTTAACTGTTTTGTGAAGTTTACCGTACGTGTCAAGCTACATGTTTTAACCTCGATACTATTGCTGTCTCTGATGCATGCAAAGATAATGGTGCTTTGTTGCGTGATTAAATTCAAAATCATTGAAGTATCTTACAGAGAATCACAATCTTAGTAATTTCATTTCTATAGCAAAAATTGACCAAGTTATTTGTTATTTTATCCGAGGGAACTCAGCAAACAAGGCCAAATATGGAGTGAGCAATATTTTTATCATGCGATCAGAAGTTTGTTTTTTACAACTTCGCAAGTTTTTAACCAGTGAGAACAAGTATGATATTGAAAAACCGACACGAACATGAAAGGAGACGGTAAAATTGGCAAATTGTTAAAGGCACGAGAAAACACAAGTGTCTAAGGTACGGATGGTTTTAGTTTTACATCTCATCACTTGATAGGAAAACCAAATCAAGACATTTCCGAGTTGTTTTCCACACTCAATTTTAAAATTGCATCGACCGAAAAAGATTGGTCTCAGCATTGGTAGGATGGTCAAGAAAAGATAACGGCACGCATCAGATTATCAACAAAGAGCTGTCAACATTTATCTTTAATGTAACATCCTTCATAATGTTTACAAATCACGTCATGGATGTTTTCACTTCAGCACGATGGCTTGATTATCTTCACTGAGCCCTTGATGTGAGCTTTGAACTCGCGCCACTGAAACACGTTGCCCACCTCGGTCAGGCACGACTTTGACATGCGTGCGATTTCTTGGTCTTTTAGAACGTGATCCCAGATGTTGACACCTGTCATTTCACCGATGAAAGATTGATGGGCTTTAAAACCTCCTCCCTTTGAGTCTTGATCCTGCCCTAGTACCAGGGATCCATTTGCACGAATCACGTGACCTGTGAGGACATTGACAGGAAATTAAGGAAAAAGATAAATTTACCTGTTAAAAAAGACGCGGTTTCGTCATTTCGGCCTCTTTGTATTAGCAGATGCACTCACTAAACAATTAATACTATTGTACGGACCATTACTAAAAGAGGAATTTACCTGTTTGGAAACTTTTACCAGAAGCGGCAACCGAACCATCTCGAAATAATTTCCATGATCCAGCGGTATTCTCCCATGTGAGGCAGATATGATGCCACTTTCCATCATTGGCGGATACAGAAGTAGAACCACTAAAATTAGCAGCAAAACGCGAGAAGTGTACTTTGAGTATTTTAAAGCTTACAGCAACATTAAATCAAAATAACTGTTGTGATTTAATAGCAAGACAAAACTACAGATGAAATACTCAAACCTCCCATGGTCGTTGATGTAAAACTCAAGATTTCTATAGTCAATCAGGAGAAGCCCGTTGCTTTTTCCCGATACAGCATAGCTCAGGAGTGTTCCTGCATTTCTAGTATCTGCGGTTTTTATCCACAGACAAACTGTCACAGCTGACAGGTTTGGCATACCACGTGTGATGATGACGTAATCACTGGTTCCTTTTCGTGGAAATTGCAGAGTGTATCCTGCAACTGAAGAATTACTCAGTTTTTTTAATTTGTCAACGCTGCTTTCGAGACCTCTTTAAAAAATCTCGTCTTTAGATTTAATTGTGGTGCAACTACTGATTTGATGCAAGTTACAAGGGTAGTTCAATAACAAAAGGTTATAGTTCTATAGATTACAGTTAACGTTTTCAGGAGAACTGTCACCTTACACCTTTTTCAAATCATTGGTCGAGCGAGTCTCCGATTACAACAACAGCGTTCCAAGAAATGTTGTCGTTGTTTTTTGTTTTTTTTTATGAGCATACCACGCAACCCCACAAACAAATTTTTTTCAAGCGTGAAAAGCGTAGTATCACAACCCAAGAGGCCGCTGAAAAAAGTGAAACAATTTTTCACGATGCACAAATAATTATAGTTATGAGTGCTGCACAACTTACTGGGTTACTCGCCACGCCAGCGGTTAATATTCGATTACTAGATTTCCACGCAATAACTAACGTAGTTCAGTATAATCTATGAAAAGCTTCGTTTGGTCAAAAATAACTCTGAAAACAAACATCTCTGCAATCTAGACCGTGAGGAACTCAGATAGTGTTCCTTCTTTTGAATCTAAATTCGGAAAATTTGGTAAATGAGAAGCGCACAGGTAATGTATTTTTTTAAAAGGTAATGTTTACAAGTTGTAAGGAGCAGTCCAATACAGTGTAAAGGCATTCAGTAATCTCATCTGTATCAAGAAAGAAAGCTTATCCTACCTTGTTTCTCCAAGTCTGTTAGCGTCAAGTTCATGGCGTGAAGTAAATTGGACAAATCTTCATTCGACTCGCTTAACAACTTTAGTTTGTTTTTAATTTCAGCCAATTCCAGTTTCGTTTCTCGGGCGGAAGACAAAACAACTTCATTATGGTCTCCAGTGATGAAAACTTTGCCATCCGAGACAGTCTTATTCACTCGAGTGGATGAGGAAATGTCAGGTGAAGCCACAAAGATCAGGAGCAGATAAAAACGAATCGATTTAGCAGCGAACATGGCGACAGAAAGAGCTGAGGTCTGCTGATAAGACTGAGTCATCAGGGAAACCAAAGCAATTTTTTATTAAGCACGATGCATGTTGATAAAAGTAAACAAAACAAGTATATTTTTCTGTACGACGATATGTTTGTTTTTTGCGTTTTAGAAGATATTATTGATACAGTTGATTACCGGCCCCATCAGTTGATAAACTGGACTTTTAGTGAGCAAGTAGGAGTGATTTAGACATCATTTATACAGTTGCACTTCAATTTATCGTCTTCCTTTCCCTTTTTTTCCCTTCTCCTTTTTTATTTTATTTTTGTTTTTTCAGTAGCATTTTAGTTGAGTTTTCCAGTTTTTCAGTTTGACGTTTTCTTTCACATGGTAATTTTTGACGAAAATTGTGTTCAATGTGTACAGAGACGGTTGTCTTCAATTGCATAATTTTGTAGCACTACTTAATACACTACAAGAAGAGAAAAAAATAGTATAAGTTGCAGGAATTTGTTAAGTGTATACTCTGTTTCTGAAATGCCTTGTTCTGTCGGTATCGGAATTAAGCATTCCTTTCCTGTACGACAAGACGACGCATTAGACAATACAAGACGAGCCATGGTAGGAGCAGTATTGTTGTTATCTTTCTCTCTCACTGTTTCACCTTTGCTAACACATTGATTAAATTACCTTACGAATTGCAAGCAAGTAGTGAAGTAAGGGACGAATAAAAGTCTAAATTTACATTGTGAGCAATTGGGAATAAAGCGAACAACAGCGTAATAGATGTAGCTGACAAATTGTGATGCCGATATTTGCAATTCAAATTTACATCTTTGCAGTCTTGGCAATTGTTTCATTGGTTTCAAGCAAATCTGTGTCAACAGACCGGGATGTTGACATTGAGGTTTTCATTCTTGTTCGGATAGTTAAAGCGATTACATGAGCCCACGGCGATCATCGATCAGAAGGGAAATTTTTGGAACAAGAAAGCATCAGGTTATCTTCCAACGTTGTCATCTTTTTCTACAATTTTTCTTCTTTGATGATAAATGACTCCAATTTCAAACGTTCTTAGAAATAAAGGAGTGACATTCAGGACAATTTCCTAAAACGGAACAACATTTTTGAGCCAACAAGATATATTTTGACATTCCCACCTCAACAAATTCCTTAGTTGTAAAAGCTCCAAATGCATTATTTGAGCTTTCAGTGTGCCCTTTGCTTTTTTAAAACTAGCTTTCGCATTTCTTTCTCCGATGCTCTGCCGTTAAGATACAGAAAATCTATAGTGAACTGGGCCATTATATAGTTCATATGCGACGCATGTCTCGCATACTGCTAGAACCAGCAATATTGAACTGAGCCACGTGCGAGTAAATAGACTAAGAAGGGCGGCAAAGTAAAAAAAAACCCATAGCTCTTTCTACCTTCAACGACCGATCTAAAAATCAAGCAATAGAGGAATTTTTCCGAGTTTATATTGCATCATTTAAACACGCAGGGAGTTGGGACAACTCGAGAAAGTTATGCTAGCCCAAGACGCGGTGAGAATTTTCCATGTGTTATAAAACATTAACATATCAAATGATCAACATGATGCGGCCAAGAGCTCTTTAGACTGACACAGCACTCGCCAGCTTTATATTGGTAATACAGAAGTTTGAGTCACGTATCACAGACGATCCAAGTTGGCTAAAATATTTATTGGCAAGTCATTCCGCCAAAATTCTCTGATGCCGCTGATTGCATTGATTATAACAGAGGTAGACAACTGAATGCGATACTAACATACTGTTTTTGCGAGTAGTTCCCTTATAAAGCGATTTTTTTTTTTTAGTTACGATGTAAAGCAAACATAAAACTCTTCCGAATTAAAACAGATAATACATACTTAGAGTAAAATTAACGCTTTTGGGGGGGGGGGGGGACCCCACATAACTGTTACACTTGTAAACAGAGAGGCGAAATTTTTACTCATTACCCCGAACTGCATTTGGCTCAGGAGGTAACTTACAAAACTATTTCTGCACGAGGACCCACTCACTCCCCCTTCCCCAGTTACTAAGACACTGTATATTTTATATTTTCCTTTCGTTTTAACTTTTAGATTTTAGATTCTTTGGGGTCGCGGTTTAATCTCAACTTCATCTTGTAAGCCTAATATTGTAACGCCCCAAATATGAGCGAGAAGTCGTCGCAAATTGTATCCAAATTGTGTCTATCTTTGTTTTACTTCTGTAAAATATTTTACGGAAGTCGTCGTGTTGAAATCTGTGTGTTTTATTCATGCAAAAACCGCTTAATATAGGTGACCGCCTAAAAGAGGTGAAAATTAAACTAATTAAGAGGGCAACATTTTCGGGACTTTGAAAACCGACGACTCAATACAGAGTGGCCGCTTAATATAGGTGACCGCCTAAAAGAGGTGAAAATTAAACTAATTAAGGGGGCAACTTTCGGGACTTTGAAAACCGACAACTCAATACAGAGTGGCCGCTTAATGTGATGCCGCTTAATACAGGTTCGACTGTACGTTTTTGTCAGTTATTCAGTAACAAGCAGAACTCTTGTTGCTGTGATTCCCTGTACAAGACTGCTTTTATTAAAATCTGACATTAGTACAGCAGTAAGCATGCAATTTCATCTTGCACTAGACAAACGTACGCAGCGCGGACCTGTTTTGTTTTGTTTTGTTTCTTTTTGTAGTGGCACCTTTTCGAATCGTAGGTCATTTTTAGCACCATTGAATCTACAACATCACTAAAACAAGCCCGAATGAAGCAATGTGTTGTAGAGAAGTATTGCAGCCACAAATATCAAGAAGAGATTAAAACTAAGCGACTCTTTACCGAAGATGGCGGCAGGAAGAAGTCTTCAGTAAGGTAGAGTCATGAAATAAACTTAAGGAACATTTATTGATCACAATGTATTTTGACCTAAACAAGTTTAAAGTTTTTTCAAGACGACGATAAAACATGCTTATGATGTCACACAAAACAGCTATTCATTTACCAAAGTTGTTTATTAATTATAAAGATTTCAGTGGGCGATCGACCGTAAACTTTCATTTCTTGATTTACTAATTGCACCGAAGAAGGTTTTATCGAAAAAACCTGAATTAACTTTGTTGCCCGTAAATAAGCAGAAATTAATCCTGTATCATTTTTCAGTCAAGAAACCTTCGACTAACCTTTCGGCGAATTTTCCAACATGAAATTTCCTTGTCAATTTAAAGTTGATCACATTAATTTGGGCTTGCAATAAAACCCAATGCTACCATAAATTAAGAATTTAAATTAAAAAACCTCAGTACGGCCTATAGCTTAAACTTGAAGCGTGTTTTGAACCCGTTACAATAGTCACGCTTTGTTCAAATAAATTAGATGGGAACAGAGGCGTTGTGAAATGTCATATTCACTATACTCATGTTCCTATCCTAAAATAGTATTAAAGTATCAGATAATCGATAACCTTTGGGGGCAGCCTCAATATTTCTTAGGAAATAGCCAACATATTCGTGTTTATTTTATAAGATTGTGCCGAACTGTAGCACCTGTAGCGGTTACCTAGAATTGAATAAGTCAGTCTGCACATGTTTATGACTAATACGGTCATTGTTTGTGACACAAAAGGACAAAACATATTTGTGTAATGTATCAAACAGAGAGAAGCCTGCGAACATCCATTAATCCGTCGGATTAGAACTGGTGCAATTATCAGAAGCGCAGGGTTATACGATCGAGCGCAAACCAAACTGACCGCGCGCAATCTCCATCTTAAGCCATGGAATGACCTCAGATATCTTGAACGAGGTCAAGCACAACAGTGTTTACACAAGAAAAAGAGGCTCAGAACATTTGATTAATAGAGCTTTCATAAATGTAATGTCATAAAAATAGCGAATAGCTCTATGTTAAGGCTAATTCATGTTATTAGGGCGAGACATTGAAACGTAATGTAGCAGACGTTTCCAGTTCATATTTAAAAAAACAAAAGAACGATTAAAATGTCTTCTGTCCACACTAACAAGGATCACCAGGAGTTACCTTGCGCATGTGCATAATAAGGGTCAAAATTTTAACCTCGATACTATTGCTGTCATTGATGTATGCAACGATAGCAGTGCTTTTTTGCGTGATTAAAATTAAAATCATTGAAATATCTTACAGAGAATTACAGTCTAAATAATCTTATTTTCATAACTAAAAATTGAGCTAGTTATTTATTATTTTATCCAAGGGAGCTTGGCAAAAATGGCCATGGCCATGACAGGGAAAAACTGACACGAACATAAAAGGTGCGGATGGTTTTAGTTTTGCATCTCGTCAGGTGATGGGAAAACCAAATCAAGACATTCCCGAGTTACTTTCCACATTCAATTTTAAAATTGCACCGACCGAAAAAAATTGGTCCCAGCATTGGTAGGATGGTCAAGAAAAGATACGGGCACGATTCAGATTATCAACAAAGACCTGTCAAAATTTATCTTTAATGTAACATCCTTCATAATGTTTACAAATCACGTCATGGATGTTTTCACTTCAGCACGATGGCTCAATTATCTTCACTGAGCCCTTGATGTGAGCTTTGAACTCGCGCCACTGAAACACGTTGCCCACCCCTGTCAGGCACGACTTTGACATGCGTGCGATTTCTTGGTCTTCTATGACGTGATCCCAAATGTTGACACCTGTCATTTCACCGATAAAAGATTGGTGGTCATCAAAACTTCCTCCCTTTGAGTCTTGCTCCTGCCCTAGTACCAGGGCTCCATTTGCACGAATCACGTAACCTGTGAGGACATTAACAGGAAATTAAGGAAAAAGATAAATTCACCGGTTAAAAAAGACTGGAAAGTGAGTACATTCTTTCCCTTTTTTCGTTTTCTTAATCAATAATTTACCGAATAAGCGAGTCATGTCGCTCTGTTTGTTCCAACCTCCGCATTACTCTTTGGGAACTATGCACTTTATCCTTAAGTGACTAACATAACGTACACTGTAGCATTTAAGTGATAAATTTCATAATCGTTTATCAAGTAATTTTACCATCACAGTGACGTGTATTTTTATCAAGTTTTTGCATGTTTTTCAAGTATTTATTTTTTGGCACCAGTGATCATTACCTCTGATATATTTTCCTTTTTTGGCGCCTTTCTCGGTTTCTCCAGTATCCTTAGTCTTCTTTCGCCTTTTCAGCATCTTAGGGTAGTTTTTCTCAGCGTTACTTGCAAACGACATATAAAGCATTCAAGCGGGAATTTTAACTAATCGTTTTTTCTCCGCACAAAGCAGTTTAGTTCACAACGCAATTATTTGCGGTTAGTGTCTATCTAAAAACTACTTTTAAGTCCACGTACACTTCGTACTTCGTTTATTTCAATCAATCTTTGAATTTTGTGGAATCCACGCGGTTTCGTCATTTCGGCCTCTTTGTATTAGCAGATACACACACTAAACAATTAATACTATTGTACGGACCATTATTAAAAGAGGAATTTACCTGTTTGGAAACTTTTGTCATGAGCGGCAACCGAACCATCTCGAAACAATTTCCATGATCCAGCGGTATTCTCCCATGTGAGGCAGATATGATGCCACTTTCCATCATTGGCGGATACATTAGTAGAACCACTAAAATTAGCAGCAAAACGCGAGAAGTGTACTTTAGTATCTTCAAGCTTACAGCAACATTAAATCAAAACAACTATTGTGATTAATAACAGGACAAAACTTCAGATGAAATACTCAAACCTCCCATGGTTGTTGATGTAAACCTCAAAATTCCTATAGTCAAAAAGGAGAAGCTCATTGCGTGCTCCAGACACAATATAGCTCAGGGGTGTTCCTGCATTTCTAGTATCAGTGGTTTTTATCCACAGACAAACTGTCACAGCTGACAGGTTTGGCATACCACGTGTGATGATGACGTAATCACTGGTTTCTTTTTGTGGAAATTGCAGAGTGTATCCTGCAACTGAAGAATTACTCATTTTTTTTATTTGTCAACGCTGCTTTCGAAACCTCTTTAAAAAAAAAAGTCCTACTCTCGTCTTTAGCTTTAATTGTTTCTAGCGCAACTGCTGATTTGATACAAGTCACAAGGGTAGCTCAGTTACCAAAGGTTATGGTTCTATAGGTTACTGTTAATATTTTCAGGAGAACTATCACCTTCTACCTTTTTCAAACCGATGGTCGAGCGAGTCTCTGATTACAACAACAGCTTTCTAAGAAATGTTGTTGTTTTTTTGGTATGAGCATAATATGCAACCCCACTGTTACGGTATAATCTAACCGACAGAAAAACACTGCAATCCTACAAACTCAACTTCTTTATTATACAAAGAGTAAAGAGTATCTCCTAAAGACAGTTCAATACTCATCGTTAATAAACTTAATTAAGCCCACTACAGTCTGTATCTTAGGTCACCACTGACCCAAACTCACGGTTTTCTCCAACGTTTCTTCAAATTAACAATCTCCTACTGTAGCTCTCTCTCTCAATATAGCTCTCTCTCGATATAGCTTTCTAAAGAGTCATCACTCCAACAACAACAACAACTAACTCTACTACTAAATATAGTTACGTTCATAAAATGTTCTGGAATATTCCAGAAGCTCACAAAAGAACTATTTTAGTAGTACTACATAATAACTCCGTGACTTGATGAAACGTTCTAGAAAGTTCTATGGTACGCATGTTAGTATCTGGAGATTTCTAGAAGCTTACATTTACAACAACAATTACCCATAACACCACAAACAAAATTTCTGATTTCAAGCGTGAAAAGCTTAGTATCACAACCCAAGTGGCCGCTGAAAGAAGCAGAAAAAATTTTCACGATACACAAATAATTGGTTATGAGCGCTGTACAACTTACTAAGTTATTCGTCGCGCCAGCAGTTAATATTCAAAAAACAGAGGAAAAATTTTCCTGACTGATAGATAGATAGATACATGTAAATAAATAGACGCATGAATATAAAAATGTTAAGAGAATAGATTAATAAAGTAATAAATCTCTTGAGAAAGTTTGTTAAGTTTCTCATTTCTTATTGTACCATGATCATTTTTACATCATAATACTTGATAGGCTAGCTAGGGTGATGCGAGTTTCCATAGGAAGGTAAAGCAAAATCAAGCAATCCTACATTGCTTACAACACACAAGTGAAAATTATTTTAAAGATACATACCTTGCATAGCCAATGCCTTTATCGTTTCAGATGTGTTCTTAAATTGCAAAGAGAGCTCTTCGATTGACTTAATCACGACATCCAGTTTCCTTACGACACTTTTGTTAAACGAGTGAGGACTTGTGTACCACGCCTCGATTGTTTTGTTAATTAGAGCCAGTCTTCCTGAAGAAATTAAAAGACATAAACAAAGATCTTTCAATAATAAATGTGTGGGACATAAAACATATTAATTCATGGTGTGAATTCAAACAAATTTCGATTCTTATGGAATCAAAATGAATTTCACAATGAGATTACTGCTGTTTCCAAGTATCATTTCCAAGTTACACTGCCCTGCGTGATTGTAATTTTCACATAATTTGCAAAGTGGTAATGAAGGTTATCTGTGTAAGGAAAAGATATCTGGGATTTTCCAAGAACTGAGATTTTGACTCGCAAGTATATTTAAATGAAATTAAATCGAACTGTCAAATAAATCTTTTACACTTTTAAAAGTCTACTTTTAGGAAACAATACTGAATTTCTCGGGAGGTTCCCCACGTGTGTTGATAGAAGGTTTGTGTGGGGTACATTCGAAGAAATGAAGCCAAAGATCACCAAGTCATTCGCAAGCAAAGGTTAGATGCGATCGGATTGTGTTACACTACTTCCTTGAACATGCGTTAGATGCGTACTTTCCACTTGCATATTGGTAACATTTTTGCGCTTCAAATTGGCGTTTCACATCGTTTTTATATGACCTCTTTTCCGTGGAACCTGTCTTACCTGGTCATCACCAGCCATTCTTTGTGGGTGAGAACCTAATACAGGTTTAACTGTGTAGAAAATGATGTCATAAGGGAGGATTGGTGACTCAACGTCAACAGCCACAAGTAGGAGGAATGTTCATCATTGGGTCAGACTTGTTTTTCGTTTTGCATCTCCTTGGTTACGAGAGAGGCCCAAGTTTCCTTCATAGACCAATCACAAACCGCATTAAAGCAAAAACAATACATCCTTAGTTGAAAATCAATGTAAATATGCATACCTTTCATTTCCAAAGCAGTCTTCCTTTCAGACATGTTCATAACATTCACGTTTACTAAATCCAGTTTTCTTTCCATATTTGTGCCCAGGGAGTCGAGGCGTTTGGACAAAGCTTCAATAGCTTTGAACATTGAGTCCTGGTTATCTGTAGACAATCGCGACAAAAAAAAGCTAAAATGGCTGATTACACACATAAGTGGTGCAAAGAAAAATTGTGGCACATTGTAGACATTCAGCCATGTTCATGACATTCACGTTTACTAAATCCAGTTTTCTTTCCACATTTTTGCCCAGGGAATCGAAGCGTTTGGACAAAGCTTCAATGGCTTTGAACATTGAGTCCTGGTTATCTGTAGACAATCACGACAAAAAAAAGCTAAAATGGCTGATTACACTCGTAGGTGGTACAAAGACAAATTGTGGAACATTGTGGACATTCAGCCATTCTTCGTGGCTGATCACCTAATACAGGTGTAACATGGCCGGAAAATGATGTCACAAGGGAGGACTAGTGACTCAACGTCAACAGCCACAAGAAGGAGAAATGTCCATTATTGAGTCAGACTTTTTTACGTTTTGCATCTCCTTGGTTGGGAGAGAGGCCCAAGTTTCCTTCATAGACCAATCACAAACCGCATTAAAGCAAAAGCAATACATCCCAAGTTGAAAATCAATGTAAATATGCATACCTTTCATTTCCAAAGTAGTCGTCCTTTCAGACATGTTCATAACATTCACGTTTACTAAATCCAGTTTTCTTTCCACATTTTTGCCCAGGGAATCGAAGCGTTTGGACAAAGCTTCAATGGCTTTGAACATTGAGTCCTGGTTATCTGTAGACAATCACGACAAAAAAAAACTAAAATGGCTGATTACACTCGTAGGTGGTACAAAGACAAATTGTGGAACATTGTGGACATTCAGCCATTCTTCGTGGCTGACCACCTAATACAGTTGTAACATGGCCGGAAAATGATGTCACAAGGGAGGATTGGTGACTCAACGTCAACAGCCACATGAAGGAGAAATGTCCATTATTGAGTCAGACTTTTTTACGTTTTGCATCTCCTTGGTTGGGAGAGAGGCCCAAGTTTCCTTCATAGACCAATCACAAACCGCATTAAAGCAAAAGTAATACATTCCAAGTTGAAAATCAATGTAAATATGCATACCTTTCATTTCCAAAGCAGTCGTCCTTTCAGACATGTTCATGACATTCATGTTTACTAAATCCAGTTTTCTTTCCATATTTGTGTCCAGGGAGTCGAAGTGCTTGGACAAAGCTTCAATGACTTTGAACATTGAGTCCTGGTTATCTGTAGACAATCGCGACAAAAAAAAGAGCTAAAATGGCTGATTACACACGTAGGTGATACAAAGAAAAATTGTGAAATTCAACCATCAAACCTTTTAGAAAAGGCTTCCGATAGCTTTGTTCACTTTCTTCAGTTTCTTCAAAGACATTAAGATGAGTAGCTGAAACAAGACACACGCTTATACACGACTTAATGCATACCTTGCATTTCTAAAGCAGTTGTCCTCTGAGATGCGTTCTTGATATGGACATTTACTAAATCCAGTTTTCTTCCAATATTTACGTCCAGTGAGTCAAGACGTTTGGGCAATGTTTCAAAAGCTTTGTACATTGAGTCCATCTTTTCTGTAGACAATCACGACAAATAGAAAAGGATTTTTAAGACAAGCGATTACCCATTTAAGTGCCAGGGATAAAGGACAAACCGGGTTTCCCGGTGAGGATTCTAGCCCCTCCTATTGCGGCCCACATACTCCAGCAGCTGTAATGCAAACATTAAAGTTCTGTAAGGTTTTGTTTAATCGCCCAGTTTTCCCAAAGACGAGTTAACACATCTGAC